TTATCATAGAATTGGCATTATGTAAAGCATTCTTTTGAATATTCAGTCCATATATAGGGTTTAAATTATCTGAACTCTATGAAACAGCAGAGTACGGAGTTCCTTGTACTTACGAATTTTCTGGAAACTTGCTAAACACAGTATCAGATGGTATTGGCCCAACCAGAAAGTTGTTCGATATATTGCTTCAAAAAGTTCCATAAGAATGAGATTAAATTCAAGGTAACAATTTAGGGTGCCAGCATGCTAAGACAAATAAGACCCAAAAGAAAAAGAAAACCCAGTGTAACACAAGGAAAGAAAGCTACTTCCTTTCCCCTTTGGATAGATCGAAATAAAGTTACTTACAATGTAACAAGTTTATTCAGCTTTCCAAGGGACAAGGGAATATTTCCACTGAGAGAGTTGCTTGAGATGTCCCTGCAAAATGAAGAACAACATTTAACTAAACCTGCACAATGCCAAACAAAATTCTTGTATTGAAAAAAAGTTAGTGTGTTTTCAGATTAATCTGCAATATGGGTGACCAAGTCACACTTTTCCATGATATGGGACATTCCATCCATCTCCCCTTCCCTCCCTCACTCATGATGAGCCATTTTGAGTGACTAGGCATTTCTTGCAATTGGCAGTTACATTTTGTCAAACCCCACATTACCGTCGCACCATTCTTGAAAACTCTAGGCAAAACCTAATCCAAGTATAGTAAGTTTTTCTGCACGAGGATCACTCTCGTCTTTCTATTTCCGTTATCTTAAAGAGGTATGGCAGTGATAATAACAAATATTTAACAAGATTGTTTTGTGGCAGGTGCAGGATCACTTCAAATCTCATTTGCACAGGATGAGGCAAGGAAACTAGGGTCTCGTCCCTTGCTGTTTTATCCTTCAATTTTTATGAAAACTATATACTACCATAACACAAAACATTAACTAGCACAATTCAGTAAAAGCACCAAAGAGCAAAAAGAACAGAACCACAGCAAACAGGAAGAAATAAACAGAAAACATACAGCATTTCTTATGTTTTTTTTAGTAGACAAGACAAAGTCCTGAACCCCAACCCTTCTACACTTGATATAAAAAGACACCGTATCTAGTAATAGGTGAAGCATTTTCATCTTCACAAAATACATTCCTTTTTAAAAATAATTTTCTCTCTCTAACATATATTACTTCTGATGTATGATTTGGATCATGTGATATACTCAAGAAGATGTCAAAATAGGTCCTAGCAATTAGTAAAGCTGGATAAAAATCAATGCTAAAGAAAAGCCCTACATAAATGCTTCATGACTCAAACATTTAATATTGTTAAAACGCATCTCCAAAGCACTCCTGAATGGACTTGTTTAAGAATGAGAATAAAATCCCATAGGGCAATGACAGGATATTATGCACAATTTTCCTATATAGTCGACTTTCCTTTATAGTTGAGTTCTCGTTCTTAGTTTTTAATGTTCATATCATAGGATACTGCATACTCTCTTCAGCTTATAACAAGAAAGAATACCATAGTCCTAAAATGTCCATGTGTTTCTAGTGCTTAGCATTTCTCGCCTTTTATGGTTCAACACCTTTCTAGCCGTCTAAAATGAAGAAGGAAAAGAAAACTACTAAACACGTTTTTTCAGATTATTCAGTCCTGTAAAACTAGTGATACCAAATGCAACCACCAAGTTGCATCCATAATCTCTACCATGAGTTGCAAAACTGCCTCTTCAGCATCCCAGACATTGATCTACAACCAGCACCATCAGACAAGTCCAAAGGCAGACATAGAGTCCAATCTAATAACTAGAAGATTGCATGTACAAAATACCAAGACCTGTGCATAGACAATTTTCTGTTGACACAGTCGACCAATTCACCCTGTTTGACTAATCCAGAGCGGTTAGACAAGCTTGGCCCCTTCTAGATTGCTTTCAAGCAGTTTAGATTGATTCACAATGTTTTTGAACTCAATCTTTTTGTTTTTGGAGTTCCTTTGTGAATTCCTTCCTCTAACTCTTATTAGGAGTTAGTATCACATATTATGGCTAGTCGCTTTTGCAAAAAAAATCCTATGTTGCTCAAGCTTGGTGCCTGGTATTAGCTACAAGTATGGATCTAAGGGTCTAACTTGGCAATCTATATATGTTATCAGAACAACAAGAGAGACATGATAGTTAACAATGTATAATTAATAAATATTTTTGAAATACAATATATAAGAAAACAAATACAAAATTTTTCAAATGAAATACAAAAGTTGCTATGCTTAAGAGAGTTTCACCATTTTACCAAAAAAAAAAAAACCATTGAGAACGAAGGAAAAGAAAATTTAATGGTAAATTAGTTTGTCTGACCATATCAAAAAATTGAGTGGTGAATTAACTCTATATTAAGTAATAGTAAGTCAAATATTTTTACAATATAATTTTTGGTAAAAGACGTTGAGAAGGAAAAAAAAGGAAATCAATTGATGAAGTAATTTATCTGACCACAATATATTTTAGAAAACAAGATAGAATATTTTCACTATATATTTTTGCTAAAAGAGTTCAGAAAAGAAAGGGAAAGTATTATTTAATAAATCCTGCATATATCATTAAGGGTACAAAGTTAAATTACCAAAGTAGCTAGCCTCCTAATCTTATATAAGAAAACTGCCTCTGTCTGACAAAACTGGACACTAACTAAACTTTATGTTTATCTATTTTCAATGTTAATCCTTTCCTTCTCATGACAATTTCTCATTGTGATGCCATTTTTGTCAGCCATGGGAATCAAAGAAGGATAGGTGGAGTTCAAAATAGGATTTGACATGCGTGAGAGAACACAGAAGGGTGTCAAGGTCAAGGTGAAAGAAAACACACTAGTTGTCAAGGCAGAGAAGCTGCTAAGAAGAAGGGCTTTGTATATAATCATTCACGAAAATAATTGTTCTTGTAAAATTTGGACATAAATACTTAAATGATGCTTTGATGTATAACTATCTATGTTCTAGAAAGAGTTTTTTTTTTATACTTTTTCACGTTGATCCTTTGATGTTAAACAGTTTGTCAGCAAAGTTTTATAGTTGAATAGATTATGGAAATGTCTTTTATCCTTCTTTTTAAGAAAAAATTTTCATTACGTAAGGCACCAAGTCTACCCTCTGATGTAGGACAAATAAAATTGATTTGTCCACAGATAAATACCTAAATAAGATAGTAGTGCTCCCTAAGCAACTTTCACTAAATATGATTAACCTAAAAAATAGCAAAACTAAAAAGATTTGGAATACTACTCCTAAATTATTTCAAAAAAAAAAGGAATATTATTCCTAATAAGATAGGAAACTAATACTAATAATATTAGAAATGTTAATCATAATTCAACTAAGAATTGCTAAGAAATGATCCAATGCCGTTTTCTTTGAGGTGATGAGGATATAAATGGAAGATTCTATTTAATGAAGTGGGAGGATGTGAAGATACCATTCTTGGAAGGGGGCCTCGGTTTGAGACCAATTGTTGAAATGAACATTGCATTCAAGGTAAATGGTTGTGGAGATACACTTGAGAGGATGGGAGGCTGTGGAAGAGGGTGGTGGAGGCTCAGTGGGGTATGGGGAATGCAGGGGGGTTTGGGTAGAGAGGTTAATAGACCAC